TGGAAAGTACTCTCTTTCCAGCCCCCTCCCTTGATCTTTTGATGGAAAGTACCTTCTTGTACCTGCAGACTCTGTGCTCAACCACAACCTTTGAACATAATCACAATACAACGTCCGACCTCTACATGGCACATCTTGTGTCTTAAAAACATTTTCTTCCGTGTTGCTCCTGTTAATTTCATTCAAAGCCCCTTGCTTAGCATTTGCAAATTTCACTCAAAGACCCTTTCACTATAAATCCCAGCAACAACTCCCAAATGTCAAGGTCTATTTTCCCCAAACACCATCAGTGTTCACATTTGGGCATATTGAGTATCTGTGCCAAGTTTGGTCCAGATCCATCACTGTTTGAGTCCACAGTGCTCTCTGGATGGAGGTGAACTACAACTCCCAAACTGAAGGTTAATGCCCACCAATCCCTTCTAGTGTTTTCTGTTGGTCATGGGAGTCCTGTGTGCCAAGTTTGGTTCAGTTCCATCACTGGTGGAGTCCAGAATGCTCTTTGATTGTAGGTGAACTATAAATCCCAGAAACTTCAACTACCAAATGACAAAATCAATTTTTAAGTGATGGTCACTCATTGGCCTAGTAGGTGTCTTGTGTCCAAATTTGGTGTCAATTCATCCAGTGGTTTTTTTAGTTATGTTAATCCCACAAACGAACATTACATTTTTATTTATATAGATAAACTGTTAGTGATTCAAAGTCTCCAGGAGTTGGTCAGGTCCTTGCTGCAATATTAAAGCCACTTTGTGAGTCTACTTAATTATCTGATTTTAAAGAGTTTGCGCAGTCTTGGGAGTTAATTCCACAAACGCAGGAAGCTATCTTGAATATACTATCATGTTACTGTATAAATGGCCCAAGGCGATTAAGACCTAGCCTAATCCAGATTTTATCTATCTAAAATACACGAAACACGGAAATTACTTTAATTGTTTGGAACATGACAAAAAGGGTTTTCTATTTAAGAATTAACACTTCTCCTTGACTGAGGGAAAGGATTTTCAGCACAGTTGGTTTTTCAAGTAAAAAAGAAATAATGTAATCTGCCAAATTTCTGCTTTTCAAAGTAGTGGGAATTAAAAACATCTGCCAAGCTAAGGAAATTTGTATAATTTAATCTGCTAAATAAAGAAGTTGGCCCAATGAATGTAGCTAATACAATTACAGAGAACAAGATTTTTGCACTATTAATTGTCATTAACTGTCACCAAGTCGATTCTATGAGGGTTGAATGAAAAGTAATGCCTCCACCTTTGTTACTTGCGTTTGGATGGGAATATTTAAATAAATCAAATGCAGAAATAATATTTAGAATGTGCTCTTTAAATACCACTATTCACTTTTCCACATAATTACCAGACAATTGGATAAATTTCTGCCAACAATGAACAAGTTTTCTGAAGCCATCATGGAAGAAGTTGACACTCTGTTTCTGCAACCATCTCACAGTTCTCTCATTCCGAGTACCCATCATGCACAGATCTTCCGATAGCCAATCAAAGCAATAGTGTGACCCACACGTTCTTGTGAAATGCCGATTATGCTTGAAGTTTCTCTGAGTTATATGACGATCGTCCTGAATCAATCTGTCAACGTTTTGCTTGTGAAACTCGTGATTGCTGTCACAGGACGTCCAACTCTTTGTTTGTCACGCAAGTCAGATTTTCCCACCTCAACATCTTTAAACTTATTCGCCCAATGACGCACAGTATTCACATCAACACAATCACCATAAACAGCTTGCATTCTTTGATGAATCTCCTTTGGGGTGACATCTTCTGCTGTCAATAATTCAATGACTATACGTTGCTTAAGTCACACTGACCGACCGTCTGTGCATGGTTCCATACTTTGCACTTTAACAACACAACCGTTCAATGCTAAGGCTTCCTGCCAAAATGGAACTATAGAGGAGAGTCTACTGAACAAGTCAGTATCAGAATATAAAGGCAGAAAATCCCACAATATCTACTTTGAACTGGGTTGTCTGAATCCACCAGGACTTTGAACTGGGTTGTCTGAATTGCACCAGGACTGTGGCGCAGCTGGCTGGGAGTCAGCTGCATTAAAATCACTACTGACCGAAATGTCATGAGTTCGAAGCCAGCCCGGGTCGGAGTGAGTGTCCGACCAATTTGTGTAGCTTGCTGTCAACCTTTGCAGCCCGAAAGACAGTTGCATCTGTCAAGTAGGAAACTTAGGTACTGCCTATGTGGGGAGGCTAATTTAACTAATTTACAATGCCATAAAAATCTCCAGCAAGCCTGCAAATAACGAGGAAGTACTTAATCAGCGCTACAAATGGACGGTAAAGCAACAGCTCCCCTGGTGGCTAGAATACCCTAATTAAAAAGTTGGAATGTTAAATTGCCTCTGTGTCTGCCTATATATGTTGTGTGTCTACGGCATTGAATGTTTGCCATGTATATGTACATTGTAATCTGCCCTGAGTCCCCTGCGGGGTGAGAAGGGCAGAATATAAATACTGTAAATAAATAAATATAAATAAATAAATCCACACTGCCATATATTCCAGTTCAAAGCAGATAATATGGGGGATTTTTAGCTGCATGGAAGGGGTCTTACTCTTCCAAGACCGGCTATTAAGTACTAAAGGTGGAATGTGAGAGCTTCTTGCCATCCGTATAGAAGCCCCAAGGTCGCAGGTTCAAATCCAGGGAGCGGGGTGAGCTTCCGCTTTTAGGCCCAGCTTCTGCCAACCTAGCAGTTCGAAAATATGCAAATGTGAATAGATCAATACCTTCTGTGGGCAGGTAACGGCGCTCCATGCAGTCATACCAGCCACATGACCTTGGAGGCGTCTACGGCTCTTCATTTTAGAAATGGAGATGAGCACCAGCCCCCAGAATAGGGCATGACTGGACTTAATGTCAAGGGGAAACCTTTACTTTTACCTCACCTTAAAATTAACTTTACCTTTACCTTACCTTAAAACTAACCTGCATATCACATTGTGCATTCTGATGGAACAGAAGATAAAGTAAACACAAACTAACCACCATGTTTAAGAGAAATCTAGTACAAACAATGCAAGAGATATCATCAGTAAAATCTGTCTTTGGAAAATTCCAGCCAGAAACATCCTTTAGTAACCTTTATGTACGAGGTAATTTCCCTACTGGAGGGAAGAGAATGTGGCTGCTTCTCCAATGCCATATAATCCAGACTATCAAATCAGATAATGTACGTTATCTGCTTTGAACGGGATTATATAAATCTACACTGCCATATAATCCAGTTCAAAGCAGATAAACTGGATTTTATATGGCAGTGTAGAAGGAGCCACATTCATACATTTTACACTGTCATATAAAATCCAGATCATCTGCTTTGAACTGCGTTAAAAGCGTTATAGCGTTAAAATATTTTTTTTGGAAAGGCAGGCTTCATTCAAATTTAGTATATAGTCAATATATCAACGCCCACACTTTACGTTATAACCGACACAATTTATATTCAGTTTGTGGAAGGAACCTCACAAACTGGCATATAAAATCCAGATTATCTGCTTTGAACTGGATTATATAGCGTTAATATATATATATTTTTGGATAGGCAGGCATCATTCAAATTTAGTATATAGTCAATATATCAAGGCCCACACTTTACATTATAACCGACACAATATTTATATTCAGTTTGTGGAAGGAACCTCACAAACTAGCATATAAAATCCAGATCTTCTGCTTTGAACTGGATTATATGGCAGTGTAGACTTGGATAATCCAGTTCAAAGCAGATAATGTGGATTATCTGCTTTGATAAACTGAATTATATGACAGTGTAGAAGGTGCCTGAGTCTACACTGCTATATAATTCAAAGCAGATAATCTGGATTATCTGATTCGATAATCTGGATTATATGGCTGTGTAGACTCAGCCCTTGGCCCCTTCTACACTGTCATATAAAATCCATATAATCATCTGGTTTGAACTGGATTATATGGCAGTGTAGACTTGGATAATCTAATTCAAAGCAGATAATGTGGATTATCTGCTTTGACTAATTGGATTATATGACAGTGTCGAAGGGGCCTGAGTCTACCCTGTTATATAATTCAGTTCAAAGCAGATAATCTGGATTATCTGATTGGATAATCTGGATTATCTGATTCGATAATCTGGATTATATGGCTGTGCAGACCCAACCCTTGGCCCCTTCTACACTACCATATAAAATCCAGATAATCTGCTTTGAACTGGATTATATGGCAGTGTAGACTTGGATAATCCAGTTCAAAGCAGATGTGGATAATCTGCTTTGATAACCTGGATTATATAAGTGTAGAAGGGGCCTGAGTATACACTGCCATATAATCCAGTTCAAAGCAGATAATCTGGATTATTTGATTCAATAATCTGGATTATATGGCTGTGTAGTAAGCCTGAGCAATGGTTCTAAAGTACTTACAAAACTAAAGTTCTGGTGGTGAAAATTTCAAAACTCTCAAAATTTAATTATAAATGGCAGTTCCTAATTGGTTCTGTCATAAAAATAGCCAATAATGAAATAATAATTAATTTTTGAAAGTTTTGTTAGAGTTCTGAAATTTTCACCACAACTTTAGTTTTGCAAGTACTTTAGAACCATGGATTGCCCAGGCCTACTGTGTAGACCCAGCCCTTGACTCCTTCTACACTGCCATATAAACTCCAGATCATCTGCTTTGAACTGGATTATATGGCAGTGTAGACTCATATAATCCAGTTCAAAGCAGATAAAGTGGATTACTTGCTTTGGTAACCTGAATAATATGGCAGCGTAGATCCAATTCTAGGTAGGTGTCCCTCAAAGTGGTGGACCCTGGCGATTGTGTACGAATGGAGACACATTGAGTGCCCAAGTAGATTGAAAGAAACAAACACAAAAGATAGTTGGAGACTCAGGCAGATCACACCCGCCTCTCCAGCCGCTGCCCGAGGCGCCTCGAATGCGGCTCAGCCAATGAGACGCGTCCTGGGCGGGTCCTCCCTCCTCCCTCCCGAGTGATGACGAAGGGAGCCGAAGGGAAAATCGCTCCCCATCGCGGCAAAAGCAGAGAGAGTCGGCGCGACCAGCATCCTCGCTGAACCAGAGGAAGGTGAGCCTGGGAAGGGGAAGGGGAGGGAAGGAAAGGAGGGGAAAGGCCCAGCCGAGCCCCGCTTAAAGGCCGAGATCCAGACCCCCTTCCTTCCCAGCCCAACGAGCCTCTGTTCCCTTTCCTCTTGCCGAAACCACAGGGCAGTGGAGGGAGGAAGGAAGCCCAGTGGTTGGCTTGGATGGTTTGCTTCCTCCCGCCCTTTCCTGGGCTTCCTCTCTCTCCACGCTCCACACACACGTGGGTTCCCCAAAGGACATCTAGCCTAACCCAAAGCCACAGCGCCAATATAATGCAGTTTAACACCACTTTGTGGGTTAATGGGGGACAGCGTTTAGTGAGGCATCAGCACCCTTCCTTTGGTAGAGAAGGCTAAAGACCTTGGGAAACTACAGCTCCCTGGATCCCATAGCATTGAGACATGGCGTTTGAGGTCGAGTAAGGCCCCTCCTACACTGCCATGTAAAATCCGGATTATCGTCTTTGAACCGGTGTAGACACATATAATCCGGTTCAAAGCAGATATGTGTGTGATCTGATTTGACAATCTGGACTAGTGTAGAAGGGGCCTTCCAGACAGGCCCATGAAAAATCCGGATTATCTGATTTGAACCGGATTATATGCCAGTGTAGACACATATAATCCGGTTCAAAGCAGCTATGTGGGTGATGTGATTTGATAATCTGGATTTTAAACTAGTGTAGAAGGGGCCTTCCAGACAGGCCCAATATCCCAGGATCTGATCCCTGGTTTTAACTGGATTATATGAGTCCATACTGCCAGATAATCTGGGATAAACGGAAATCATGGGATCAGTTCCAGGGATATAGGGCCTTTCTGGAAGGTCTCTTAGTCTGCATGGTATTGCAAGTGTGGATTTATTTTGGAAGGGGAGAATATACCTCTTGGTATGGTTCCTTAGATACAATCTCCCATTTGCTATATGGACTCTGAGCTGGCGAACGTTGAGCATGAGATTGATTTTATTGATTGTGAGTTATAATTGATTGTTTTTAATTGTTATAATTGCTGTTTATATATGTTTATCTGTATTATTGTGTAGGCATAGAATTGTGCCTTTTGTAAGCCGCCCTGAGCCCCCCCTCGGGGGTTGAGACGTAGAAATACGCGAAAAGTAGAAGTAGAAATACGCGAAATAAATAAATAAAATAAATATAGATGGTGACTTTTGGGACACCTTGTATCTTTTTCTATATAAATTAAAATGTAATGCTCGTTTGTGGGATTAACATAACTCAAAATCCATTGGGCAAATTGACACCAAATTTGGACACAATACGCCTATCAGGTCAACAAGTGACCATCACTCATAAAAACATTGAAAAACACAGTGGAAGAGACTTAAAAAGGCAAAACAATAAAAAAAATCATTACAATGCATGCGCAAAACCACATATATACATATACATAAATATATACATATACACTATATATACACACACAACACATGTAGGGGCAAAGAAACCAAAATATTTCCCAAACATATATATATACACACACAACACATATACACAGATTGGGCCACAGCAACACGTGGCAGGGGATGGCAAGTATTTAATAAATAATCATCATAATACTTTATTTACATCCCACCCTATCTCCCCGATGGGACTCAGGGCAGTTTGACCCGACAGTGTTCTTTTACAAAGTTGTTCCCCAATGGTTGCGAAACTATAATAGAAAAAATACACAATGATATAGAAATTATAGAAGGACACACACACATCTGTATAAATAAAAATGAAATGTTCATTTGTGGGATTAACATAACTCAAAAACCACTGGGCGAATTGAGACCAAATTTGGACACAATACACCTATCAGGCCAACAAGTGACTATCACTCATAAAAACACTGAAAAACACAACAGAAGAGACTTAAAAAGCCAAAAAACAAAAAAAATTACTATGCATGTGCAAAACCACATATGTACACAAACACACACATATACAGAGAGGAGAGAAAGAAGGAAGGAGAGAAGGAAAGAAAGGTAGAGAAGGAAGGAAGGAGAGAAAGAAATAAAAAAGTGAAAGAGGGAGGGAAGGAGAACGAAAGAAGGAAGGAAGGAACGAGACAAGGAAGAATGGAACCAAAGAGCAAAGGAAGCGAGAAAAGAAACAGGAAGAGAAGGAAGGAAGAAGAAGAAGGGAAAGAAAAAGAGGGAAGGAAGGAGAGAAAGAAAAAAGGAGAGAAAGAGGGAGGGAAAGTTGGACACAGTAACACGTGGAGGGAACAGCTAGTAGGTATAGATATGTATGCTTTTATGTATGTATATAGAGACGGATTGATGTAAAATAAGGCTAGACGATGGATCAAGCTTTTTGCAGGCATTACTAACACATTGACCAACGAAATCGTCTCTAAGAAATATGAACAAAATGTTATTAAAAGTTAGAGAAAATAGAAAGTGTAATGTGTAAGTAAACTGACAAAAAAAACCTAGAAGAAATACTAATGGTATAGGCCCAGAGGAGAAGATCCATATCCACGGATTCTACTCCCACAAACATCATCTGCGGCTTGAATATATTCCCACCCCCCCCCCCCCCCACACACACAAGTAAACTTTGATTTTGCCATTTTGTATAAGGCAGTGGTTCTCAACCTGTGGGTCCCCAGATGTTTTGGCCTAAATTCCCAGAAATCCCAGCCAGTTTATCAGTTCTTAAGATTTCTGGGAGTTGAAAGATAAAATATCTGGAGACCCACTGGTTGAGACCCACTGGTATAAGGGATACCATTTTACTACACATAATGGGACTCGAGTGTCCACAGATTTTGATATCCACAATGGATCCTGGATATCAAGGGTCTACTATATAAACTTTCTATATGAGATACATCAGAGAAAATACTCACATTTACTTGAGTCTAATGCACCATCGAATCTAAGATGCATTGTTTTCAAAACTCTTGAGCCTAAAAAAAGTATTTGCTGGGTAATATAATGTGCAGTAGCAAAAAGTGCCCTCTTTGTAAGTTGGACAGGAAAGGTGCGCATTAGTTGCTGCACATTTAGAATTCCTTCTTCTATATAAATAAAAATGTAATGTTTGTTTGTAGGATTAACATAACTCAAAAACCACTGGACAAATTGACACCAAATTTGAACATAATATACCTATCAGGCCAACAAGTGACCATCACTCATAAAAATACTGAAACACACAGCAGAAGAGACCTAAAAAGCCAAAAAAACCTCAAAACATTACAACGCATGTGCAAAGCCACACACACATATATATGTGAACACACATATATACACACACACATATATATACACAGAGTGGGCCACAGCAACGCGTGGCAGGGGACTGCCTACCTGCGTGACCGCATTTCTGTATACGAACCCACACGATCTCTTCGATCATCTGGAGAGGCCCTACTCACACTCCCACCTGCATCGCAAGCACGATTGGTGGGGACGAGAGAGAGAGAGGGCCTTCTCGGTGGTGGCCCCTCGACTCTGGAACTCAGTCCCTAAGGACATCAGGTATGCCCCATCGTTGGCAGTCTTCAGGAGGAGCTTGAAAACGTGGTTGTTCCATTGTGCATTCCCAGAATAATGAACCCTTAGCACTCTCCCCCCCCCCCCCCCAAAGCACTTTATATCGATTTAGGACTGCTTGTATGTCTCTATCAAAGCCCCACCTCCTGTATCTTGTTCATGCCTAACATTATTTTTTTAAATTTTAATTACATTTGGCCCAGCCATAGATTTTAAATATGCACTGTATTCTGTTTAATGTTTATGCTTTTTGTGTATGAGATTTATTTTAATTGCTTTGTATTGTATCTGTTATTGCTTGTATTGTTGTATTGTGGGCTCAGCCTCATGTAAGCCGCACCAAGTCCCATGGGGAGATGGTAGCGGGGTATAAATAAAGTTTTTAAAATTATTATTATAATTATTATAAGTGTTAGAACACCAAAGCTTCCAGCAACAGAAAGGAAAGTCTTGGATGCATCTATGCTGTAGAATGAATCCACTTTAATTGCGCTGGCTCAATGCTATGAAATTATGTAGTTTTGCAAAGTCTTGCCAAAGAATTCTAGTAGCTCACCAAACTACAAATCCCAGGATGGCATAGAATTGAACCATGGCAAATAATTTGGGGTGACATCCATGTAGATCAGGGGTCCACAAACTTTTTAAATAGAGGGCCAGATCACAGTCCCTCAAACTGTTGGAGGGCCGGATTATAATTTGAAAATTTGCAGTGGTCTATAGAGATTCCATTCTTCTGACCAGGACCCCAATCCCGCAGTCAACAAATTTTGAATGCGTCCACCTGAGGGTGGGTGACCGGGACAGAATAGGGATTCTGTTAGTGTACCGTCCACCTCGCTGCACTACAGTCTCCCTACCTGAGCTAGCGGGGGTGGTCTCGAGCCTGGCGTTGGAGTCTCAACGGCTTCTTGTGCTGGGAGACTTCAATATCCATGCTGAGGCGACCCTCACAGGAGCGGCTCAGGACTTCATGTCCGCCATGGCAACCATGGGGCTGTCCCAACAAATATCTGGCCCCACCCATTGTGCTGGACACACATTGGACTTGGTTTTCTGCCAGGGATGGGAGCAGGGTGGCGGTGTGGAGGAGTTGTCTATCTCTCCGTTGCCATGGACTGACCACTTCCTGATCAGATTTAGGCTCACTGCACCCCCTAACCTCCACAAAGGTGGAGGACCCATTAAGATGGTCCGCCCCAGGAGGCTTATGGATCCGAATGGATTCCTGACGGCTCTTGGGGATTTTCCCGCCTCCTCGGTAGGTGACCATGTCGAGGCCTTGGTCGCTCTCTGGAATGGGGAGATGGCCAGGGCAATTGACATGATCGCTCCGGAACGTCCCCTCTCAAGTAGCCGAGCTAAACCAGCCCCTTGGTTTACTGAGGAGCTGGCAGTGATGAAGCGAAGGAAGAGGGAACTAGAGAGCGTGTGGCGTTCGGACCCAAGCGAATCAAATCGAGCACGGTTTGT